AAAAAACATGACAATATCAAGTAATCCAAAGTAATCAGATTACGTTACTCACTTTAAGTAATTTAATGGATTACGTTACAAACTACATTTTGAGGTGTGTAATCTGTAATCTGTAGGGGATTACATTTTAAAAGTAACCTTCCCAACACTGGTCATGTGGAGATCCAGGAAGTGCTTCACTGTGTTTGTAAACTCCACACATCTTCACTAGAATCATTTGGACAATTTCAGCCCTGGAATTGCTAATCTCCACTGAACTAAAGGTAAAGATAGCAATTAACTTGAAAACTAGTGTTTCATGACATCACAAGGTGGAACAGAACATTTTGAGTTTTGAAGATGTAGACAGACAAATAATAAAGAGTTAAACATGTGTGAATGAAACAAAACACAACTCCAGGTCTGTTTTTGAGCAGGAAACAACATTATAACACGACTTAAAGCTCACCAGAGACAATTTTGCATCACATAAAACCTTTAACACAAAGATATTTGAGTTTCTTCTCTGTAAGTCTTTTGTCTTGCGTCTGCTTTCACTGCTGCTTTTACTCAGAGGCTCGGCTGCTCTCCATTAAACAGACCCGCGCTGATCATTGACCATTTGAAAGGATTGAATCTCAGTTTAATTAAAATGTAATGAATTGCACAGCTCAAACCTCCACGGCCGCTAATGCTCCTCCACTCCACAGATCTCAGAGTAACACACTGCAGAGACGTAACAATAACGGAAATATCGTGTATCGTATCATCAAAAATCTCAAAATAACATCACGATATATCGAATTACAAGTTTATTTGCTTTAAGGTTCTGGAGATTCTCTAATTTTGACTTAATTTGAGAGGTTTTGCACAAAATCAAGAAGCAGTTTGTGAAGAAAAATTGAAAAATATGTAGAAAATTTCAGGTAATAATGAGTCCAATATTGTTGTCATCACACATCTGTCCAAAAATTCGCCAAAATTTACATAAAACGAAGCAACAAAACACATTTTTTCAAGTATTTTAAACAGTATCTCAACAAAATAAAGGTGTTTTATTGTAATTTTATTCGTCAAATTATAATCTTTGTGTACATTAGAGTAGTAACAGTTATGAAATTCCCTAGAGTCATGTCATCATTTTCAACCATTAAGTAAAATTTGAAACCTGAAAAATTGCCAATTTTTGCCAACAACTTTCTTTGCTTAAGTACACGGTGATGGTGCAGCAGCAGCTAAAACCAGAGAGAACTACAAATCCCATGATCCCTTGTTTTAGTTGTTGTTACTTGTTTTAATTTCCAGTCTGCGCGATGAAATAACTGTTATTAATCACTCTTACAACTTAATTATACGGGTGTTTAATGTGCTTAAACACAGACCGAGGAGGCTCTGAAGTCGCTAAAAACATGATTTGTTTTAGTTTTAGCAGGAGCCTTAAGAGGGAAAAACAAACTTTGGACAAATCAGAGGAGCAAAGCCTAATGCACTAACTTGTTTACATACTGTATGTTAAGTCGCCATGTACTTGGACAGGCTTTTTGTCTTTTTACAGGCCTCAGACATGAATAATATGGTGAAAAAAAACATCAGCTAAATTCTCTGTGAGTGTGAAGCTGTTGAACTGTGAGGAATTTAAAACTGTATTTTATAACACTACCAGACAGATCTATAAAAAGGCCTATAAAAATAATTTGTTATAATAATGTTATTCAATTGGAGCTAAATTCTCCATAGAATATTGAATTATAAAGCACAACCTTGAATTCAGGGTTCCCACTCTTTTTCACTGACACAATTTTAAAACTTTTCCATGACTTTTCCATGACCTAAAGTTAATTTCCCATGGCTTTACGACCTACCTCCTGTGTTCAGTGTTGGGGAGTAACAGATTACATGTACCAGAGTTATGTAATCAGAGTACAAATTATGAGTAAAAGTATTCAGTTACAGTTACTGTTTCCATGAGTGGTAATTGGATTACAGTTACTTTGTTGAAATAAATGGATTACACGGTGGTATTTTCCTGTTTTTACATTTTGGGCTATACCCCCCCCTCGGTAATTCCACTCATTGCTGGAAACTAAACCAGGTCTAAACTAGATCTAAACCAGGACTAAACCAGGACTAAAACCAGGTCTAAAACCAGGACTAAACCAGGACTAAATCCTGCTGTGTGGACGTGTCTCCTCCTCTTCTATCAATAATATTTTTAATACGGTTAAGGAAACACTGGGCTTTTTATTTTCTTTTAACAGACAAAACTTGTTATGTTACGATTTCCTCGTCTTTGCTTCTCTACAGCAAATCAAGTAATCCAAAGTATTCAGATTACATTACTCACTTTAAGTAATTTAATGGATTACGTTACAGACTACATTCTGGAGTATGTAATCTGTAATCTGTAGGGGAATACATTTTAAAAGTCCCAACACTATGTGTAGATTTGATCAGACTTTTAGGGCTAAATCTGAAAAGTTAACCCTTTCCACTCATTTATGGTTTGGGATTATAGTTTTTTAACATTCAAAATCCTGTCAGTGCATTTATTGTCGTATCTTTAAACAAAAGACGCAGACGTTCAGAAATAATCATAATAGACTAACAGAAGGCTGTCGTTGAGTGAAAGAGATACTAAAATTCCAGAACTTTTCCAAAAACTTTCATTTTCATGACATTCAATGACAAAAATGACATTTTCAAATTCTGTGACTTTTTCAGGATTTCCATGACCCTGTAAATTGTATAAAATCATAAAAAATTAGAAGATCGGGATGAGACTGACACCCCTAATAATTACATGAATTATTTTTTTATTTTGCATATCCTGGTGAAGTGTGATGAATCGAATCGTGGGTCCTGTGTCGAGAATCGAACCGAATCGTGAAATTTCTGAATCAACTTTATTATTTCGATTATGACACAAAAGTAAAATATTCACATTTTTGTTCGCCTCCACAAAATCTCTCCGTAAATGTCCCTAGTACACGGGCGCAGTACATGGACGCGGTACTGCAGTAGTGCTGAGTAACAGTGCGATACGAAGCGCGGAGTCGGGACTGGACCAGAGCCAGATGTTGGAGCACATGTACAGCCACATTTACAGAGAGAAACACGACTCTTCCACGGCTCAGTCACAACATCGAGAGTGTGTTTGGACGGAGCGCGGGCACACGGGGTCGGGTGGGTCGGCAGCTTCCTGTGATTAGCCGGTCTAGACGGTCGAACGCGGTTATAGACGGTCACAGAGCCATAATCACGCCGTTCATCTCGTGTCTCTTACCCACAGCTCGTCTCCAGCAGACTGTCCCCGACCTGCAGAGACGCCATGCCAAAGTCTGCGATGCGAATGTTGTTCTTCTCGTCCAGAAGGAGGTTCTCGGGCTTCAGATCTCTGTGACTGGAAATAAACAAGAAAGACTCGTGTTAAAGATGCGACTTTTCTGCTAAAGGGTATTTACTTTTCTATTATTTATTCATTACGGGTGTTTCTGTTGCTAAAAATACAATAATTCCTTCTGTGAACAGGTGCGACTCTACACAGATCTGAGCTGTAATGTAGCGTAGGTTCAGGTTTAATCTACGCTGTGGAACATTCTAGACAAAGCAATAATATTTCCATGGAGACAAGAAACAAAATTGCTACAAAATCGTGCACATATGAGAAAAAAATATATCTCGGGAAATTGCAAAAAACGGCTTTAAGGTGCATTGTGAAACTTTTCTGGCAGAGAGTTTGACAAAAGGTTTTCTAAATATGGTTGGTTTGTCTAGAATGTTCCCCAGTATGGCATTAAAACTTTCTATCGTCATGGAAACCAAACCAGACCAAGTTAAGTATTAAGTGAGTTACAGTTCTTATAGTTCCAAAAAGCAGAACTAGAACGTCAACAAAATATAAAATAAATTAAAAACTGTGAGGACAAAATTAGAAACTGTCAATCGTAAAATGTAGTGGCGGAAAGTAACGAAGTACAAAAGTAAAAGTACGAGAGTTAAGTTTAAAAAATTACATATGTGTACATTACTTAAGCACATTTTCCAGTGGACACGTTCTACTTTTACTTCCCCACACTTGAGAGCGTGTATCTGTACTTTCTACTTCACTACATTTTAGATCTGGACTAAAAAGTAAAAAAAGTACTTTCCTCTGTGCTTTGAGATCTGCTGACATGACTGAGACTTATTTTTAGTTCATTTAATTCAAGTTGACGTCCCAATATTGAGTAAACCAAATACCGTATTTTTCAGACTATAAGGCGCAATATCAATAATGTTGAATTCTCCACTCCACCACATTCAGTTCATTTAAAACTAATCTGAAACGACGGCTTAAGAGAAACCAGATCTGTAACCACTAATGTTATGCTCCTACTGTATGTAAATGTCATTGTTGTATGTCATGCTTGTGTGTTTGTCTATTGTGACGCGTTTTATTTTCTTATGTTTTATGTCTTATGTCTCTGTCTCTTTGACCTGTCAGGGACTACAGGTGAAAAGAAGCCTTCGGGTTAATTCTGGCGTATTTACAAGTATAAGTTCATGAATATGCACTGTCCCTTTTAAATAAATTTAAAAAAATAAAATAAATAAAGTCTCTTGTCTATTTTCATACATAAGGTGCACTGCATTATAAGGCACATTAAGCAAAACACCTAGTGCCTCTGCTCAATTTCATTTCTCTCAGTCAGGAATCAGAATACACTAGAGGATTTACAAGAACCCCGGAAGTGTGAGTTCAGGCACCAGCCAATCAGCGAAGAGACAGACATTCTGTGTTGGCAACGATTCCCGAGATCGAGGATTTAAAGCCGAAACGAAGAGAATGTTTGGTGAATTTTATCAAGGGGAAAGACGTTATTGTCCTTCTTCCTACAGGATTTGGTGCATTACATACGTCACAATCAAATAGCAGTGATTGGTTACGTAAAAAAGTAGAGCGAATTAATTCTAATGCTGCGAGGTCAGACGGTTTCTACCAAGTGAAACTGGCTGATGAATCAGGCTAAGCGTTGCCTCTCTGTCTTGATGAATGTGTATTATGACTATGAATGTGGGTGGATCATTTAAGTTTGTTTTTTTTTTTTATTTCCTATGAGGACGACTCAAATATGCATTGAGTAATAATGTGTTAAATGCAGCTTTGCGCACATTTGTTTACGTTTTACAAAAACAAAACTTAAAACTACATGGTGAATTTGTACATAAACTATAAGCGCTGAAAAAAACAGCTCTTTCCTTGTGCGCTGATGCGAGGTTCAGTTTCTGTCAGACTAAAAGACACAACTCAGCAGAAAATGTGTGTTCTTTCTGCGACAAAATGACGAGGGCAGTGTGCGTTGAGTCGACGTAAACGTAAACTATACTTCGCCCTTTATTTTGCGAAGCTCCTGACTACAGTCGCCGTAATGCTCCGACAATCCATCAAGCGGCGCAACTTCGTAGTTTACCAAAGTAAGTCGTACTAAAACATTTTGACAGATTTTTGAGCGTCGTGTACTACATAAAATCAGTTCGAGGTCCTTAAGCACAACCAGAATTAATACATAAAGCACACCAGATTATAAGACGCACTGTTAATTTTTGAGAAAATTAAAGGGTTTTTAAGTGCGCCTTATAGTCCAAAAAATACGGTATACAAAAACAGCTAGAAAAAAAATCGGAGGAGCCAAATTCTTTATCAAAATCACTACATTTCATCTTTAAACTGCTCTAAAAATCACTGCAAAATACTTTTACGTTTTACTATTTAAGTACTTTAATACTTTTACTTGTGAAGGACTTTTTTTTGAGTAACTTTTTGCTCCTGTATCTGTACTTTTACTTCAATAACAGAATGTATCTTGTGTAAACTGTGCTTCCTCTCGTCCCTTTCAGCAGATCGTAGTAAAGTCGCTGACCATATGGAGTGGCTGTGGCAGAAGTCCAGAGCGGATATGATTTGTCTGAAGAACTTTCTGGCCTCTTTGGGAGTGAGTCGTCCTTTTTTCACCAGATAATCAAACAGCTCCCCCCCGGACACATGCTCCAGCACCAGATACCTGCAACACAAGAAGCACAAGAACGCACAGTTTAGATACAGAACAGGTTTAGAGACAGGACCAGGACCAAGACCAGGACCAAGACCAAGACCAAGACCAGGACCAAGACCAGGCCTGCAGAGTTTATTACAACGCACGAAGGAGAAGTTAAGATTACTTGAATTAAGAAAGTTTTATTATTATCTACCATTGGAACAAGACTTTTTGTAGTTGAAACTAGGGATGGGCATTTGATGAAATTTTCTTAATTAATCGAATTCGGAAGAATTAACGATCGATTATCGATTAATCATTAACGTTTTTATATTAAAATGATCATCATTATTATTACTATCTGCACTAATCTGCATAAATAAATTCAACTTTACGACATATAAACCGTAACGACTCTAGAGCCACATCAGCCCGTTTGACATTATAATGTGTTTAATTCAGTTTTGCGCAACTTTCACAGAAACAAAACTTAAAACCACATCACTAATTTGCATAAACTAAGCGAAGATAAAACTCCAGCTCTTGTGTCGCTGATGTGGTTCAACTTCTGTCGGATTAAAAGACATGACTCAGGTGAATACAGGTTAGTGTGACCAGATTTGTGTTTGTCAAAACCAGGACAGCGTACGGGGGGAGGGGGGCGGGGCCTCGTCATCCACATTGAGCGACTCTCACCTGGTAAAACTTTTTCCCACTGGACACCGAAACATCGTTAAATATGCATTTGTGCTTCGGTACGTTGCAGACTGACCGAATGTTTCTGTTTGCTCGCTCCTTCTGAGTGCAGAGAAACACATGTACAGACCTGTTTGGTCACACTACGCTACGCACAACAACCTACATTCGGTTTGTCGATTAAAATTAACGTAATCGATGAAATTAATCATGCCCATCCCCTAGTTGAAATATGAAAATACTTGTTTGTTCTTGTTACACTTAAAAAAAACACAACTCTTTACACTTAAAATAAGAAAACAAAATCGAATGTTGCTTGTATTAAGAAAAACACACGTATTCTATATTGGTAAGTTGAATCAACTCAAATATAGTAAAATGTTCTTAATTGAAGCTGTTTTAATTTGCCTAGATATTGTTTTTTGCAGGGTAATATTCTTTAATCCAAAAAAAAAATGTCTTATGTACATGAACTTCTTGGATTCATAAGATGCAGCTGAAACATGTCAACAAGGTAAATACACCTCCTACTGTAGTGTCTTTAAAAAGAACCCAACAAAATAAGGTAAGGCTGAACGATATGGAGCAAAAAATATCTCGATATATTTTGCTATATCTCGATGTAAGAGAATTTAAGTAATTGGTCTTCCACGTACATCTCAGTTTAACATTGACTCACAAAAGCTACTTTATATTTACACCATGATCTTCCCTTGGCAAACCATTGGCATAACATCATTTAAATTGTGGCATGTTGCTGACTAACCGGAGTCTATTGACCTTCATAGTCTCACCACAGTTGCTTTATAAACCTCCTCCTCCAGAAGCAGAGTCAAGGTCCTAGAACACTCATAGATGATACTATGTTCACTTTTGAAATCACACTAAGGCTACGTTCAGACTGCAGGGCTTAACGCTCTATTCCGATTTTTTTGTGAAATCCGATGTTTTTTCGAGGTCATTCACATTTCCTATTAAATGCGACTTGTCTGTGACTCCAGTGTGAACAGTAAACGACCCGAAAGTGTCCCACATGTGACTGGAGACACGACGACGTCAACCCCATGCGTCAACCGCAGCGAGCGTGATCTGTGTTTACAGAAGTTGTCCAAACATGGACGCAGCATTGAGCACCTGGAGATTTTACAGTTCCGGTTTTCACCTGCTTCAGCGCAGAATAGTGACGTTTGTGTCTTGTTGATAACGTGTAGGTGGATGAATGCACTTTGGTCGTTCAGACTGAAGTCACATGTCAAAAGATCAGATATGTATCGGTTTCAGGAGCACATATCCAAGTGTCCTGGGTCACATTTGAAAAAATCGTATCTGTGCCATTCAGACTGTCATTAAAAGATCAGATACAGGAACATAGAGGCCAAAAAATCTGATTTGGGTCACTTCAGGCTGCAGTCTGAACACAGCCTAAGTTCACTTTTCAAGGATTATTAATGGTAAATAAACTTCTCCTGCTTAAGACTCCAGTTAGTCTCCAGCCTTTTACTTCCACCCTTTCTTGGACAAGCTGAAAACTTCTACAACACTCGATATACATACGATATATATATCTCGATATCTGTACAGGAAAAATAACCCTCCAAAAACTACTGCAAAATCAAATATGACAAATTTCACAATGTCTTTTTTAATTGAAGTGCAAACAGGACAGCAGTTCATGTAGGAATAAAGTGCTTCTGCAACATAAAAAAAAACATAAATAATAATTTAACTGTAAAATAAAAGAAATAATACATATTTCCTTCTTTTCATTCAAAAATAAAACAACTCAAGCTTATCTTTGCATTAACTCTGTAACCGTACGATAACCAGAAGCATGAGCTCCTTTAGCAGAGGAAGCTCAGGACGAGGTTTCCCACAATCCACAGCACGGATCAAACCCAACCTCTCCAAATATTATAGTACAAGTTCTACACTGCAGCAGATTATTCACTAAAATCTTCTGCATAAATAAACTTTACATTACTAAAATTTTACAACATGTAAACCGTGTTATCGCCGTTTGAGATTATAATGTGTGTACATTTGTTTACATTTTACAGAAACAAAACTTAAAACCACATGGCTCATTTGCGTAAACTATAAGCTCTGAAAAAAAACAAAAAAACAGCTCTTTCCTTGTGTCGCTGATGTGGTTCAGCTTCTGTCGGACTAAAGGACACGACTCAGTGGAATATGAGTGTTGTTTCTGTGACAGAGGAAGTGCTGCTGATGGTTTTGTCTGTAAATGTGGAAAAGGTGCTAAAAGCTTTTGGTTGGCACCAACTTTCGGCAGTAGTGAGGAGTGAACGAGGCAACACGGGAGGGGAAGGGTCACAAAATCAAGGAGGCAGGGGTGAGCGGGCGCAGACACAAGCAAAGTGGTGAAATCAGAATTAAATATAAACATTGTATCAGTATATATATATATATATATATATATATATATATTATATATATATATATATATATATATATATATATATATATATATATGTCAGAATCATTTTCATCTTTAAAAAAATATCGAGACATCAGATCAGGTAATATTTAATACACCTTTTTGTGGAAAATCAAACTTCTAAACAAGACCATGAACCCTCGGACTGATCACAGGCTCCTGAAAATGTGCTCTTTAAATCCTTTTTAAAAAAATGTCTTGAGTTTTCAGATGATCAGACTAGACTTTCAGACTTTCTGTCTTTGTGGTCTGTTTACACTAATGTGTGTGTTGTGCAGTGTTGGGGAGTAACAGATTACATGTACCAGAGTTACGTAATCAGAGTACAAATTATGAGTAACTGTATTCAGTTACAGTTACTGTTTCCATGAGTGGTAATTGGATTACAGTTACTTTGTTGAAATAAATGGATTGTGGTATTTTCCTGTTTTTACATTTTGGGCAATACCCCCCCCACCCTTTTTTTCTTTTTTTTTCTCGGTAATTCCACTCATTGCTGGAAACTAAACAAGGTCTAAAACAGGTCTAAACAGGACTAAACCAGGACTAAAACCAGGTCTAAACTAGATCTAAACCAGGTCTAAACAAGTCTAAAACCAGGTCTAAACCAGGACTAAAACTGGACTAAAACTGGACTAAAACAGGATTTAACAGGACTAAATCATGTTGCATGGACTGTGTCTCCTCATCTTCTATCAATAATATTTTTAATACGGTTAAGTAAAGTCTGGGCTTTTTATTTTCTTTTAGCAGATAAAACAACTTCATGTGAAGAAATCTGTGAGTCTTTGCTTCTCTAGAGCAAATCAAGTAATCCAAAGTATTCAGATTACATTACTCACCTGAAGTAATTTAATGGATTACGTTACAAACTACATTTTGGGGTATGCAATCTGTAATCTGTAGGGGAAAACATTTTAAAAGTCACCTTCCCAACACTGCCGTTGTGTCACCGTGGAAACTGCCGAACATTCCGCCCATAGACATACACGTAGAGCACCGCTGATGCCACTGCGAAGTATCAGTAGAGTCTAAATTATCTCGAAAAGACACTCGCCCATCCGTCAAACCGTATTAACCTGTCACTTTTTCGTTTGGTTTGTGATTTAAGCGAGCAGTCTTCCATCACATTAACCTAAAATCAGTTCTATCGGGCTGAAAAAACACCAGATTTTCCCGTCACAAACCCGCCGGCGAGCTCGGATCGGACACTAAACGTACGACTCTGGTTCTCTCTCTTAACCTCGTCTCATTCATCTGCGTGTCGGGCGTGATCCTCTCGAGTGGAGCCCCCTGCTGTCTGATTTATGAGCAGATTAACAGATCCGCTGGTGCGTCGGCCCCGTCACCGTTATAAGTGGTGATTTGAGAGTGAAATAGAACGCAGAGGCTCCCGGTCCCTTATGTTCGCTACGGTTCTGTTGAATTATGGAACGCGGAGGTGACGGTTTGTGCGTCGGTGATAAACTGCTCTTGTTAAACGTAAACATATAGCAGGACTAGAGAAGCGTATTTTCCTCTCGGATGCTTTATCAAATATTTACGATGAGGAAAAACGTGGACGGTGGAAATTTTACTGCTTTTATCTCATTTTTAGCTCTAACGTTTGCTGCATTTTATCGCAATCGTATTCAAAACCGCAATATGTCCTTAATATTTGGAGTGCTTCAAATATTATATTTTTTCATACTCTTTTTCATATTACAGTCCCAGTTTTGAGCCGTGTCCCCCCCGTCCCAGCAGATTTATCCAAAACCAGTGATTTGTCCCAGTTTTATACAAAAAAGAAACATCCCAGTGTCTCTATTTTATGACTAAGCCAGGACTAAACTAAGACTAAACCAGGACTACATCAGGTCTAAACCAGAGGTGGAACCAAGTCGTTGTTTTGCGAGTCTCAAGACTTTGACCTCAAGTCCGAGTCAAGTCCCGAGGCAAATACAAACAAGTCCAAGTCGAGTCTCGAGTCACTGGCCCATAAGTCTAAGTCAAGTCCAAGTCGTCTGTTTTGAGCTTCAAGTCAGTTATTTAAATAAAAGTACCAAATAAAGTTTAGATTTTTGTAATTTATATGACTTTTAAAGTAATTGTACTTGGTCATGGTGTATTTATATGTGAGTATTTATATAAGAGTTGTAGAAATGCAATTTTTTTCCTTTTTAAATGTTTTGACACGATGTTAGTGTGAATCACTACGGTCAGAACGGAAAGAATTACATTTTGAAAGAGCTTAAAAGTTATTTTGTCATGAAGGATCATGTTCTATGTAGTTCCCTCTGTTTTACTGTATAGTACTGTATACTACTGTACTGTACTGTATATTACTGTAGTACTTTTGAGGATACTACATCACAGTATTTCAATTCAGTCTATAGTAACAAATAAAAAAGTGGGAGAGACATGTTCCAGTTCGTTCCTGTAAAATTCAGCGCTGCATTTATCAACTGTAAAGAGAAAAGTATTTTCTAAAAACACAAATTTTTTAGGAGAAGATTCAAGTTTCCTCAAGTCACAGGCCTCAAGTCCGAGTCAAGTATCAAATAAATGACCTTCAATCCAAGTCGAGTCCCAGGTCTTAGTCCATTTTATCAAGTCAAGTCTCAGTCCTAAAAATAGTGACTCAAGTCTGACTCGAGTCCAAGTCACGACTTGCAAGTCCCCACCTCTAAACAGGACTATCATAATTTCTGACTAATCAGATCCTCGCCAACAGCAAAGAGGAGCATAAATTGTCATTTGTTTTGCCAAAGTACAGAAACTGAAAATGATCATAAAGTGAAAAAATGCAGCAACAGTAGTTCCTCTGATTATGACTGAATCCACAACGTTACACACTATTTTCACAATTTTTAAATTTTCAAATTGTCTTTATTTTAACACAAGAAGCTGGAACTACAACAGGTGAGCTGATATGTGCTGTTAAAAACTACGATTACAGTCACAAGTTAGTGCGCGCCAACAGTTTTTCACTTAGTCACGCTCACAATTTTTGTTGAAAATCAAACACCCCACAGATATTCACGCTTCGTCACAAAACGTTTGGAATGAAGACGTTTGAAAACGTCTTCTGGCGGGTTCTGTTGGCGATAGTAACTCTGACTGGGAAAAATTAGAAAAAGGCCCAGTTTTCTTCATCTAGGTGGCGTTACATGAGAGATGGGCATGATTAGTCGACTAAGTGATAATCGATCATTAAGAATTTCATCGATCACGTTCATTTTTAATCAACAAACTGAATGTAGATTGTTGTGTGTAGCGTGAGGAGACGAGGCTACGTCTGACAAACACTGGAGTCTCGGCCTCACAGTTCCACGTTTGGACTCTGGCTCCTCGGAGACTCTGTTCCTCTCAGTGATGTGTTTGCAGCACATCAGTGTCAGTGAGATGAGCGTTTATTTTGAGTCTCCCGGTTTCATCACAAGGAAAGAGCTGTTTTTTTCAGCGCTTATTGTTTTTGCAAATGAGTCATGTGGTTTTAAGTTTAGTTTCTGTAAAACATAAACAAATGTGTCAAAGCTGCATTAAACACATTATAATGTCAAACGGGCTGATGTGTCTTTAGTACAGGGGTGTTCACACTTTTTCATCATGCGAGCTACTTACAAAATGACCAAGTCATAATGATCTACCTAATACAAAGCCAAGCAAACTGCACTGAAACACTCTGTGCCCCTTTTTTGGACCCTCCCCCACAGTTTGAGAACCTCTTCTTTAAGAGAACTTCCTCTGGCACTTTACACAAAACTGTGAAAAAAGTGAAGGAAGATTTTTAAACCTGTTTTTTAAAGTTCCAAACTGGAGATTCATTCTTTTCTGGTTTTGCAGTGATATTTACCAGCCTCTGCACGTTTACCAAACCAAACGCACATCGTGACAAACACAGATGCATTTGTCACTTTTGTTAGACAAACTTCAGCCAAATGTGGCAGTAGGTCTGTTCTGTAGATCCGCTCTATGCTGTAGACCTGCTTTGTGCCAACACTGGAACACAAATTTAGACTGGTTTTTGCTTCACGTTTGGTCTTGCTCTTCTAATCAGCCGCACTGTGGGAGGGGCTTGTGTTGGCTGTACGCAGGAAGGAGCGAGAGCGTGAAAAGGCGAGGGGCGGCGTGCTGACGTGAGGCAGATGGACAGGTAGGATGTTTAGGAAGTTGAACATGGAGCGTGTGTGTGTTTGTGATGCGCCGTAGAGTCTCCGCGGGTTTCAAATGAGCGCACAGGCAGCGGCCGTAATGAAATATGATCACACTTGTTGAGTGTCGGACCTCGAGTGAGAGACAAGACCGAGTCCAAACGTGAGTTCGAGATGAGACACAGCGATCTACCCACACGACCTTGGCGATCGACTGGTAGATCGGGATCGACGTATTGAGCACCACTGCTCTAGAGTGATTATGGTTTATATGTTGTAAAGTTGAGTTTATTCATGCAGGTTAGTAATAGTAATAATAATGATAATGATAATTATTTTAATATATAACACGTTAATGATTAATCAAAAATTGATCGTTAATTCTCCCAACGATCGATTAAGAAAATTTAATCAAATGCCCATCCTTAGGTTGTATTGTTTTGTTTTTTTCCTTTTATAAATTGCCTATGAATTTGAGTGTTATAATTTGTCTAACTTAATTTTTTTTAAAAGACGTCATTGTTGCGTTCCGTTATGTCCGTTCGAGTAAAATTAAAGACACAATTAGAGTCCCGTCCCCCATGGAAAAGCTTTGGCAGGTTGTGAAGACGCTGCTGCTGAATCCACAGTTTTATTGTTTTATCCCATGTCCAGTGTCGGGAAATACACCGGAAGTCGTCATCCGCGTGTTTCCAAACGTCTTTCAGTAAGCGTGAATAGAGCCTTTTAGTCAGCAGTGTTTCCTCATGTGTGCATTCTGTGACTCTCAAACCTTCCACCATTAGACATACATGTAGAACACCCCCAGCGTGAAGTCAGAGCAAACTATCAGAGCGTCAGAATTTCCCAACGAGGTGATTTGGAATGATCTCAGAGTCAAAAGAGGGAAGCAGGTTTCACGTAAACTCCCAGACGGCAGCTTTAACGCCTTGTGAATGAATTGTGTTTGAAGGTAAAATGCTGTTTTTCTTTTGCACTCACAGGTATTTCTTGTTCTCGTAGACGTCGTGCAGCTTCAGGACGTGCGGGTGTTCGATGAGCTTCAGGATGGCGATCTCCCTCTCCACCTGAACAAACACAAATAAGAACAGGGTCAAAAACAAAACGCGCAAAAAAATAAATAGTGTACAATCAGATCAACTTCAAACGCCACTCAGACCACTGCCTCTGTTGTTGTGTCCTTCGGCAAGACACTGTAAGACACATTTCACAAGAGACGTGTATAAATGTTGCGCTGCGGGTGAGTTTGTTGGTCTGTGTAACGTTCGTTCTTTTGAATTTCAATTATGAACGAAATATTGCAAAATGGGAAAATAGTTCAGTTTGTTATTTCATTTTTCCATTTTAGTGTTAAACAAAAAAACTGATTTTGACCACAATTTCAATCCGTGTATCATTCATTTTTCAACATAAAACCAAGAATAAGAAAATGAAAAAACAACTGTTTTCTTCAATATTTGTCTCCAAAACCAAAATTTAAAAAACGGATATGTGATTTCCGTGACTGTGTGACTTTTGCACCGCATACGGACTGAACCAGGACTGATTCAGGTCCGGGACCAGAATGGTCTGGTCTCGGTCTGGTCTCTGTCTCAGTCCCGCTCTGGCCTTGGTATGGTCTTGGTCTCAGTCCCGCTCTGGTCCCGGTCTGGTCTCGGTCTGGTCCCGGTCTGGTCCCGCTCTGGTCCCTCTCTGGTCCCGCTCTGGTCTCGGTCTGGTCCCGGTCTCAATTCCGCTCTGGTCTTGTTCTGGTCCCGGTCTGGTCTCGGTCTCAGTCCTGCTCTGGTCGCAGTCTGGTCCCGGTATGGTCCCGGTCTGGTCTCGGTCTCTGTCCTGCTCTGGTCCCGCTCTGGTCCCGCCCTGGTCGCAGTCTGGTCCCGGTATGGTCTCGGTCTGGTCTCGGTCTCAGTCCCGCTCTGTTCCTGGTCTGGTCCCGCTCTGGTCTCAGTCTCAGTCTCGCTCTGGTCTCGGTCTCAGTCCTGCTCTGGTCTCGGTCTCAGTCCTGCTCTGGTCCCGGTCTCAGTCCCGCTCTGGTCCCGGTCTGGTCTCGATCTCAGTCCCGCTCTGGTCTTGGTCTGGTCTTGGTCTCAATCACGCTCTGGTCCTGGTCTGGTCCCGCTCTGGTCCCGGTCTGGTCCCGGTCTCAGTCTGTGCGAGTTCTATAAACAGTCCCACAAACCATTATTGCACTGTCAACTCTTTTTAACACAATAAACAATATTACCTTTTATTGCCTCGTCCTTTTATTGAATATTTACTTATTTATTTTTATTTTTGCAGTGTTGTGGATATGAATTGCAGAACTGTGGTCAAAACAACAAAGATCTGGAAGAAAACCTCACGGCTCAGCAGCTTTTTTCTTGCACAATGTGGTGATAAAACGGCTTTAACCTTTGTTGGCGTTTATCCGGATTCTATAAAACGTCCCACAAACCGTAACTGTCCTCTGTTCGTTTATCGTCCGTCGTTGTGTAGAAGTGAATGAAAACTGCAAGTGTCTTAAAAGACGTTAAATAAATCCAGAGCTTTACATACAGAGACTAGAGGACTCTGGTGCTGCACTAAACTGGTTCAAGTCCCATCTAGAAGACAGGAAGTATTTTGTTGAAATTGGAAACTGTGTCTCAGATCACATGGCCCTGACCTGTGGGGTGCCTCAGGGGTCAATCCTGGGCCCCCCGTTGTTCAATCTCTACATGCTGCCCCCTACAGGCCAGTTAATAAGCAGCAATAACGTGTCCTACCACAATTATCCACACGACACTCAGATCTACGTCTCTCTGGCAGCAGGAGACGATGGACCAGTGGACTCACTTAGTCACTGCATCCAACAGATCAGTGTGTGGATTAGGGATGGGCATGATTAATCGATTAATAGATAATTGATCATTAAGAATTTCATCGATTATGTTAATTTAAATCGACAAACCGAATGTAGGTTGCTGTGACCAAACAGGGGTCCGTACATGTGTCTCTGCACTCAGAAGGAGCGAGACACAAACAGAAACATTCGGTCAGTCTGCAACGTACCGAAGCACAAATGTGTATTTAACGATGACTTGTACAAGAAATTCCACGCTTTCCGTTGCGTTCGGGACAAGTGAGAGTCGCGCAATGTCGATGACGAGTCCCCACCTCCCTCCCCCCGTCCCTGGTTTTGACAAACGCAAATCTGGTCACACTAACCTGTATTCACCTGAGTCATGTCTTTTAATCTGACAAAAATTGAACCGCATCAGCGACACAAGAGCTGGAGTTTTATCTTTCGCTTAGTTTATGCAAATTAGTGATGTGGTTTTAAGTTTCATTTCTGTGAGAGTTGCGCAAAACTGAATAAAACAGTTTATATGTCGTAAAGTTGAATTTATTTATGCAGATTAGTAGTGCAGATAGTAATAATAATGATGATCATTTTAATATAAAAACGTTAATGATTAATCGATAATCGATCGTTAATTCTTCCGACGATCGATTAAGAACATTTCATCGAATGCCCGTCCCTACTGTGGATGCAAAACAACTTTCTCGAGCTAAACTCTGACAAGACTGAAGTCATAGTGTTTGGTCCACAGAAACAAAGGGACAGTGTCAGCATCACCTCCAGTCTCTCTCTCTAAAACCTTCAAATCAGGCAAGAAATCTAGGGGTAATAATGGACTCAGACTTGAACTTTAACAGCCACATCAAATCAATAACATCTGCAGCCTTTTACCATCTAAAAAACATCGCAAAAATCAAAAGGTTTACTGTCTAAATCAGACTTGGAGAAACTTATCCATGCGTTTGTCTCCAGTAGATTAGATACTGTTAGGGAATTTTTATGTTATAAGCATTTCTCATTTAAGGTGTTAATCATTTAAAGGCTGATTCATGTAAAGGAAATCATGACATAGTATAGAGTTATCAACATGTGCTTTTGTTCTGTCTTGTTTTGTTGTGTGCTGTATCAGTTGATATGGATGATGTGTCGGCTGACTCAGTAAGATCATGTAGCGGGAGAAACAACCATTAATGAACCATCATGAGGTGAACACAGGACTCTGGGGAATCGCTAGAGGTTATCTGTCACCTAGACCAGGGGTGTGAAACTCATTTTGGTCCGGGGGTCGTATCCAACCTACTTTGATCCCAAAGGGGCCGGATCAGAAAACTCATGTCATATAAACCCCAAAAATAACAATAAGTTCAAATATAGAAACACAAATCTATTACAGAAATGTTTTTTCAACTGATGAACTCTTTCTTTTACAAAATATTATAATATTATGAACAACCTGAAACTTTAAGAAACATACAGTTTTAACACAATGTTTTAACATGAAATTATATGTAAATAGAAATAAGTCAATTTTTGTTGTAAAATCCTGCACTCGGCTCCACTTTTCTCATGTTGGACATTTTTCTGATGAGGGTGTCACGGTCAACAGTCAAAACGATCGTCCTTTAAGAGCGTTTGGAAAGAGACAAGTCTTCATTTGTGCTGCTCTGGTGGGAGGGGCCACGTACAGAGACGCTGCTGTGATAAACACCACAGAAAATTAACAAGATTTTAATAAAAAATAGAATTAAAATATTTTAGTAGAAAATCTAAAAGGTCTTGAAAAGGTCTTAGAGGGCCGGATCTGGCCCCCGGGCCTTATGTTTGACACCTGTGACCTAGAGTATGAAATCAGTGTGTAATTGGGGGCTGTGTCAGCAGAAGCTTGCCAGTCATGAGATGTGAACAATATGTAATGTAATGAATGTAACCTATTGTGTGACGCTCTAAATAAAAGGACTTGGAGTAGACGAGAGCTTCAGTAGCTGAGGGAGGCAGGTTAGATCTCTTCTACTCCTTGGCCAAGTAAAACGAACCACTCTGGCTGTGTTCAGACTGCAGCCTGAAGTGACCTGTATCTGATCTTTTAATGATAATGATAATCAGATTTTTTCAAATGTGACCCAGGACACTTGGATATTTGCTCCTGAAACTGATACATATCTGATCTTTTGACATGCGACTTCAGTCTGAACGGCCAAAGCGCATTCATCCACCTACACGTTATCAACAAGACACAAACGTCACTATTCTGCGCTGAAGCAGGCGGAAACTGTAAAATCTCCAGGTGCTCAATGCTCGCGTCCATGTTTGGACAACTTCCGTAAACACAGATCACGCTCGCTGCGGTTGACGCATGGGGTTGACGTCGTCGTGTCTCCAGTGTCACATGCGGGACACTTTCGGGTCGTTTACTGTTCACACTGGAGTCACAGACAAGTCGCATTTAATTGTAAATGTGAACGACCTCGCAAAAACATCGGATTTCACAAAAAAATCGGAATTGAGCATTAAGCCCTGCAGTCTGAACGTAGCCTCTGTCTCTGCGTGTTCTTTAATGACTGAGGTTGGGGTAAATTCCCTGACAACTACTGTAATGTTCTGCTCACTGGTCTCTCCAAACGAGCTGTGAGACGCTGCAGAACATCCAGAACATCCAGAACATCCAGAACGTCCACAACACACATCCAGAACATCCAGAACATCCAGAACATCCAGAACATCCAGAACGCTGCAGCTCAGGTCCTGACTCGAACTAGGAAGTACAAGCACATAAGTCCTGGTCTCAGGTCTCTGCACTGGCTCCTGTGGCTCAGACACTTTAAAGCAGCTCTGTTTGTACAAGTGTCTCCATGACCGAGCACCAAAGTCCATCTGTGACATGTTAGTGTCATATGAACATCTCACACTCTGAGGAGCTCAGGGACCAACTCCTGCTGGTGCCCAGAGTCACGACTAAACAAGGGGAGTCAGAGTTTCAGGTTCATGCAGCTAAAACCTGGAACAGTCTGAACATGTGAGACAGACTCTTCTGTGACGCTGTTTAAATCCAGACTCAAAACATTTCTGTTTAACTGTGCAAATAACTGAAAGGTTTTCATTCCTGCACTCTTCTCTCCAATTTTATGTCTCTCTTTTTTAAAATTTTAATCTTCATGATTATTTATGTTTTGATTTGTTTTTATTATGATTTTAAAGTATTTCTTATTCTGTAAAGCACTTTGAATTACTTAGTGCTTAGTACTTACT